ATACAGCAGCTTCCCCGCTTACTGCAGCCTGCGCGAGAGTGCTGGAACATGGCGTGCCCTGCGTAGCTCTTCCTGTTACTTTGGGATGAACAGCCACGAAGCAGCATATGGACTCGCCACACAAAAACAAAACTGAATCCAAAAACAAACCCATATGAAATCTTTGTACAAAATGGTGGATGTGCCGTGTCGGTGCATAAACTGAAGCATCTCAAGAGAGTGGAAAAGCAGTGTGGCGACACTTCCTCTTATTGTCTAGCTGATACAGACATACAGAGGATATAACTTTTTTTGTGCTGGCAGCCGAAGACTAGCGGGCTGCATTTCTTCAGATGAAACTGGAGCCTTCATCACGGTGAAAAAATGATGAAAAGATCTAAAAGTGAGTGTTGGTGCAACACTTTTAGGCTTTTCAGCTTGACCCTGACTCGAAGCATACATCCAAATTATCATCAACAACAAAAAAAGGGCTGCACTCGAAGATTGAGGTTTTGGAATGGCCCCGCCAGAGCCTGGACTTGAAATCCATGGACCACCTGAGGGGAGATTTACAGAGGCATGTGTGTAGTGGATGTTCTAGTAATCTGAACGCTTTGGGACATTTCTGCCAAAAAGAATGAGGCAAATATTGCCACAATGCTCAGACTCCTATTTAAAAAGGTACTGCAACAAAGGGTTTTTTTCTTGGATTGGTTGTAAAGGTTAGAGGCCATATAATAGGTGGAAAAGGTTTTGAAATGATTTTTCTTTGTCTCAAGTTGTTACATGACAAAAAACCTGGCATTTGAACAGGTCGTGTAGACTTAATTTTCACTGTACACAGACAAAGGTAAAAGCGGTTAGCAAACCGGCGACTGCCTTGTGCAACTTGATGTCATCAGTCATGTGAACGCTGCCTCATCTCTGCAACGCAACATTTAAAGAAACAAAACAAACTGGCTTGTTAGGTGCTGAAACCTCAGCAATTCAAGACAGTGGATGATCTAAAGTCGCACCCCTCAAAAGTGGTACAAATTAAGTTGACCACTTGTGTTGAAGGAGTTTTAAGTGGAGGAGTTAAGCTAGACATTTTTGTTTTTTTCCGATTCCACCCTAAAAGGGTACCCGTAAAGGCTGAGGGGAAGTTGTGAAAATAACCATACAAGTGGAAATGGTATTTCGTACAGGACAACGCAAAGTATCTGGCTCCCCAGTTCAATTAAAAATCTAATTAAACAATCAAATACTCACCCAGGTAGGTATCTGAAAGCATAATGGTTAAGCATGGACACAAAAATGCCTTGCCGACAAACATATGTGTTACATTTCTGTCAGGCGTCCTTAAATGGCGAGCAGTTTGATGTTGTTCTCTCGCAATTTTGGTTCAGTTTATTTCATGTGATAGTTAGGAATTTGAAAATCGTTAAAACCCTACCTTAACGATGACTATAATGTCATGTTGGTGACCGTTGGAGCCAGGAAGTAATTGACTCATGGCCGACCTTCCACATTGTGTCTTGATAACAACCACATCGCTTTGAATGTCTGCTGTCTGAATGCTAACAGAGTTCAACACTTCAAAAATTGACTAATGAATAGGATCTGTTGTGGTGTTGTAATGGTTTAAGCACTGCAGATTTTGAAGACAACAAAACTTGTAGACAGACAATATGACACTAATCACACGTAGAGATTCTTTCTCCTCTGTGAAAATCGACCAATAGTACTGTAGCATATTGAGTCACTTGGTTGTGACTCTTATGACTGGATTATACTGTCCCAATCATTATATATCACACCACAGCAAATTCATTCATTAATTCGTTTATGAGGGGAACACAAAACCCACAGCATTAACGCCCAGAATAATGCATATGCATTTTTCAATCCGCCTTGGTAAAATGGTTTCGCCTTCAGACACAACCTCAGCATTGTGTGTTCTTCATAAGTGGGTTATATACAGTACTTGTATAATTTCTGGTTCTTTTGCAAACGCGCACAAGCAGAGGAAGGTCATTGTTTGCCCAGCCTCCCTCCATGTGTCCTTGCTGTGCGACGAAGCCAGGAGGACAATGCTACTACTTAGCTTGATCTGATTCAACCGCAGGAAGATGGGCATACTGCGGCTCTGAGCCCGCAACTCGAGCTGCTGGGGACTGATGCAGATTGTTGGTGGCGTCAAGATGGATGCCGTGCCAGAGCCAAAACGCGTCCCTCAAATCTTTTTAGTTTAAAGAAAAACTTTTTAATTGACACAAATTTGGGTGTGAAAAAAAAACAAAACAAGACGGGCCACGGGCATGTTGAGACATGTCAGAACAATGTCCTTACTGTTTGGCCTAAGGTACACTGTGAGTCATTACTCCTCATTGCTGGAGTGTGTAACAAATATAGCAGAATCTCAAAGGTTGAATATAATCTGTTTCCAAATTAAGATTTCCCCTTTTTAAAAACATGTTTTTCATACAGTCGTTTATCATAATTAAGATATTACGCTTGTATTATTGTGGGATGGACTTAAATGTGATGTATAGTGTCTGGTTACATCACCGCCATAGGAATGAAAGGAGACCCCGCCCGTACATACATTTTCCCTTACTACTGATGTCGACTTGCTGTCATTTTTAGTTATTTTGTTCCAAAGGTGTGAGGAAGTCACTTGACAACCTATTTAAAAAATAGCATTTACTACTTTCCCGTTAGCCATTTTATTACGTAGAAGACTAAATGATGCATAGATATGCTCATTCTCATTTTTTAAATAGTTGTGAACTTAGTGTGCCTTAGGTTTAGCAGCTAGCCATTAGCATATGATCAGCTGTCAACTTTCACCACGACCAATAGATAGCCACACCTTTCTCTGTATCATCTTTAGAGTTTTACCACGGTGCCTCTCGATCCCTGACTGGAATTTTTCATCACACTGCAGTGTTCGCTGAAAAGCCGGTGAGCTATCAGCTGGTGGCCAATGCTAGCTCCTCCCGTGTTAGCATGGCACATGAAAGGAGGACGTTTGGGCAGAACCTCAGTATGTACGAATCGACACGATTTTTCAGCGAAAAGTTGTTTGGAATATTTGACAGAAAATTTGTGAGGCGAGTTCACTCATGAATCGGCCGGGGGTTACTGTACTACATAATTAGTATAATTACATTTAAATACAATTTGAGTTGCGCCAGATGGTGGTCTTTAAGACCAATTAGTGTAGGCTGCTGGCAGCTAAGTCAACAAGGGAAGTGACTGCACACATTAGAACATCTTATAATGATATTGATTTGAATCCATCCAAATACGGAGCTGACAAGTTTATTTGCATGCATGGAGGAAAGGAACACACAAATGCAAAAAGGGCAGTGGCTGCGTACAGTACTTAGAGAGGTCATGAGGTCAAACTGAGGTGATGGCAAACGTCATACCCCCCTCATTGTGATGACCTGGGCAATCAATCTCCAGCTGGATCAATACAACAAATTTATCTTAATGCTCCCTTCACCCCTTTCCCGACAAAACCGTCAGGCCTTTTTCTCAATGTGGTAACACAATTATTGGTACACTCGGATCCCAGCTATTACAAATCACATCGAAAGCGTCATGAGGCCATTTTGTCGCTAGCGTAACAGCAGACACATCCTGGGCCATTAATAAACAAAGAATCAAAGAAAATCGCTCGGCTCCATTTCAGGGAGTAAGATATTGAGACCTCGTGATGCGGCGCAAAGCAGAGTTCACCAACACACAGTGACACCATTTTCTTAAATGCAAATCATCAACTGCTGTTTTTTTTTTGTTTTATGTTTTTGTTTTACTTTTTAAAACCTCATCTTATTTTACAAATGTCTCTCCATCCTTGATACTAGAGCCCTGCCCCACTCAATCCCCCCTTGCTTCGCATATGTGGCACACTGCAATGTTGCGGTGACACAAGCATATTAGTCATCATCACAAACATGCAGCAAACCAAGCACATTGGCAAAAAAAAAAATATATATATATATATATATAGATTTAGAAGCTCACGCGACAAGAGGAGAGTCTTGGAAATCCGTACCCACCTGCCAGCCCCCCACGACTAAAAATAGCAATGATATCACATTGACAGTAATGAATGAACGGGAAAGGGTGGGCTGCAGTTTAATTATGTTTTGCAAAGACATTGGATGTGAATGTGAATTGAAAGGCATGAACGTATTCATGGGAATGTATTTGTAGGGTAGAAGTTCACATAACTGACCCTAAGCCGGCTAGGATTAGCCTCCAGCCCGTGACGCCACCCAGAAAAGCGGATGAATGGAACGTACAGTAGGTTTAGGGGGGTCTCGTTCATGGAATTCCAATTCGACAGAAGCCGCATTTTTGCATGATTCGGAACCAGCCATTAACATACATTAGTCAATAATACAGTCAATACTTGTATGAAAAACTAATGATGGCAAAAACAGTTAATGGCAGAAACTACCGGTAAATGCGTCTCCTTGAGCTGTGTGATAGCATATTGTTCTGCAACTGCACAAAGTACTTCACTGCGTGACCTTCCTATATTCAAATTGTAACGAATACAGTAAATGCTTCTATGGAAAACCTTCTCAGCCATGAAAATAGTAAATAGTGGTAACGGAGCGTGCTTTCTTGTGCCACCCAATGAAATATTCCTACGCCGCCAAGAAAACTATTGCATTGCCCACCATTCGTAATGTCACCAATTCTCACAATGACAGCAAATATTTGTGTCGAAAACATTCTAGGCCATGAATATAAAACAATCCAATGATTAACTACTACATACGGCAGAAACTGAGTGTGCTTCCTTGTGCCGTGCGACGATGTATTCCGTAAAGTAGCTCATTGCCCACCATTTGTAACCTCAAAATGTCACAATTACAGCAAATGTTTGTATGGAAAACTTAGGCAGTGAATATAAAAACAATCTAATAAAAAATAGTAAGTGCAGCAGGACTGAGCCCTCCTGTGCGGCTACATTTGTAACGAAAAAAATGTGTCGGGCCGATGACCCCCTTACATACCTGGAAAGGGAAGATGTTATCACTGCGACCGACGCCGTCATCCATCCAGGACTTGGGGTTGAAGCCAGCGGGACTGTTGCGAGGGTACTTCTGGGACGCCACGTGGTTGTTCAGGAAGGTCTTCTTCAGTGGCGAGATGGAGTTGATCGGAGTCATGCCACCATTGAGACCTCGGCGATAATCTCGGCCCTGAGATCCTCCCCAGCCACCGCCGCCACTTCCGTAGCCGCCTCCTGGACTCCAGGAGGTGGAGGAGCCCGGGGAGGGAGAGGGGCTCTGGTAGCTGGCCGGGCCCCAGGGGGACGGGGGCTTGCTCAGGCTGTTGGACAAATGTGGCAACTGGTTGAAGGGCGGATTCCTGTGTGGAAAGGGTGGAGGAGGATGCGGGGAGGCGGGCGAGCGCCGGTGCTGCTGGTGTTGGTTGTGGGGGTGCTGGAAGTGGGGGTGCGGCGGGGGAGCCGGGTGGTGCTGCGAAAGGGCAGCGGCCGGTCCTATCTGAGGGGAAAAGTTGCTGCCGAAGCCCGGGCTGACATGATGGGAGAAGTTCTGGAACAGCAGTGTGCCGTTGTTGGCGGATGCCGGGTTAAAGAAGCTGACGTCCTCGTTGATGATGGTCGACGGCGCCGGCGGAATGGCTGCCGACCAATTGTTGAAGCCGGTGAGCGACGACGAGGTGGTACTGGATTGGACCGGGCCGCCCAGACCGGATGTCTCCTGGTAATCGAAGCCTGTCAAAACCGGAGACTCAAGGCGGATCTGCTTCTCTTTCCCGGTGCTTCCTTCAGGCGATCCGCTGTCCGTCTTGCTGTCCTCCGACCGGCCTTTTTCCAGTTCTGAAATAATCCCACCCCCACCACCTCCACCCTCCTGGTGACTCCCAGGGGACAGCTGCTTTTCTTGCGTTTCTTGCATTTCTTGTTGCTGCTGCGCTTTGGGCTTCTCTGGCCCGCCCAGGATTTCGTCTTGCACACTGCTGTGGGTGGCCGAGGCAGGGAAGAGCCAGGGGGAGCCCGTCGTGGTGCCATTCCCCGCGGCTGTGGTGCTGTTTATGAATGCAGCGGGGCTCTGCGACACATTTTGGTGGTGGTGTGAGGGCTGCAGATGCGGGTGGATTCGGACCGGGAACGCAGATTTGTTACCAGTGTTGTTTTGAACCAGGACTCCGAACCCGTAATCCCCCATTTGTTTGCTCCCCCCTCACACACAAATAATATCCCGTGATCGTTTGGTCCTGTTGAGAGAACACACAGGATGGTGTGTCACACAGTAAACAATCACGACACATAAACAGATTTAGGGACTCGCATATAAAGGGCATAGATGATCTTTTCCTCTCCAGCGTCTGCTTTATCCATTCAGTGAATTCCTAGATGTATGATCATCAATTCTTTCCCCAGTGACACCATTCTCGAGCAGTGGACAATCTAGCGTCAGTCAAAGCTGTGGGCAAAGCACACGGTTCACGATGGACATGTCCACCGGTCTAATTATAACCGCGTGACGTTACCCAACTTGTCCACGGACAGCTGAGTCGCCGGCAGCACCCCCTCAAATGAGTGTAAGCCATACGTGCTGTTATATGACGAGGGCCGGGGAGACAATCGCTATTCCGGAGACGTTCTGCCTTGACGCAAAAAGCGACTGACACGCCATGAATTTGTGCGAGGCGTGGGGCCCAAAAAAGAAGAGAACACATAAACAGCGTGACGTGACGTTTTAATGACTATTCGACGTGGGAAGGGGGATATGTTCCACAAAACACACACACACATTAAAAAAAAAAACTCGCACGACCTTGTTTGACAGCTGTCAAGAGTCTGTGCTCTTTCATCGGCGAGGAGCAATACGCGACCGTTCCACGAAATAGCACCATAAAGACGCGTCTTGTGCGCTCTTTTTTGTCACGATTAAGACGAGACAAAAAAAGCCAGTGAGGCAAAGGTAACCGGTAAAAACTAGTTAGCCAAGTAGCTAATATCGGTTACTAGCCATAGCCAGCTAGCCTTGATCTGTTAGCACGAGCCGCTAGCTGGCTAATATAAAACGTCTTTTTTCTTCACCTTGTGATCACCAACTCCGACCTCGGCGACGTCTTTGTCGGGAACCTTCCGTCGGGATGACAGCAGGCTGGTGTCCTTGAAAGGATGTCTTAAGGCCGGCGGAGGCGATTTAATAGCTTGAGTCGTACAGTGCAGTCGGTCAGCTTTTTTTTCTCTCTCTCTCTCCTCCCTTCTCTTGACGTGTCCTGCCTGCTCAATGACACCGCTTTGCCTCGAATGTGGACCGTGTCATCCGAAGGGGATTCGCTCAGCCTTGGCAACGCGTCAAATTCTCTCCGTTACGTTGTGTTGCAAGCCTTATTCGGTCGGTTTCATTTTAAGCTTGGTTTCACTATTTTTATCCAGCCTGAGTCCTTGTGGATGTGAGTGAGTGAGCTTTGGCTTGCCCCCTTCTCCTGAAGCCGACCGTGGCCGAATGACAGTGAGAGATCAACCGAAGCACACTTCCGCTTCTAGTCCCGCCTCTTTGACAGAGACCGCGCCCACAAGAGCCACACCTCGACGTTTGATTGGCCGCGTAGCCGGCACTCGTGTCCTGACTCCGCCCACTAATTCCCTAAACCACACACAGGAACAATACAGCCATCATGCTCCAGAGGAGGACACAAATGATCAGATGGAAATCTTTTTTTTTTTTTTTCCAACATGACCTGTTTTCTACTAATAGATGTATATTGGCACTAGACATTTATGTTGAAATATACTGTGGTGCTTTGGAATAAGTTGAATTGAATACAAATCACCCGTATCTTGACAAATCACCGTTCCCCTTTGAAATGAATGGAATGTCATGAATCCATTCCAGCTTTACAACAAAAGGTAATGACAATTAAATACAAATAGAAAGACTTAAGCGTTTTTTTTTAAATTTCCTTTGATTGTGCTGCTCATTCTGAGTTTCTCCATTGTATGTTAGTATCAGGCGACTGACTCCTCGTTTTCAAAAAACTTGGAAATTTGCTGATTCATGGCTCATATTCATGTCTCAAGGTGTCACTGTACTTTATTGTAAATGCATGTTTTACTGCCAATGCATCTGGTCATTCAGTGGTCATTCAGTTTGTGTTTTTATATGCCATACAGCTGAAACTGAAAGTTCAGAACACAATTTCTGAGATTAATTTTGAATTTTGGAAAAAAAATCACTATTGGAAAAAAAATGGAAATAGGATAATCTGTTCACATTATGGAGTGTTTTTCCACAATTTATAGCAATTTCCCAACATCCTTTTATCTAACCCTTCTCCCCCACCTTGGGTGTCATTCCCCACTGTGGTCATTATCACCTGGAGGTCATCACCAAGCTTGGACTCTTGTCAATCTCGGCGACCCTCGGCCACAAATGGCTATCTAATAAATCAAGTCACCTCGGGTCCAGTTGGGAGAGGGTGATAAATTAGGCGAAGCGTCGTGTACTGCATTGATAAATGTGTACAGAAAGGAGGAGCGCGTATTGGCAGGGTCAGTCAGTGACCAGATTAAAGTAATTAGATTAAAAAAGAAAACAGACTGAACATGCCTGATTGTGACACCGTTCAACCATGAATTACCACACATTGAAAGTGGCTCATTTGGCTCCACGTGTCTCAGACTCAAGCGCAATGAAAAAGCAAAAGGATGGAGGAATGAATTAAGGCCGCAACGTAACGAACAAGTCATAACATCATGAGAAAAAGATGGCATATTATTGGAACAAAGGCAAAATATCACAAGCTCATTGTCAAAATATGATGAGAATTAAGTCAGAATGATGCAAATGAAACGTCGCCATGACTAAATGTTGAACCATTAAAAAAAAAAAGAAAAGATGAATCATTAAACTCAAGTTGAAAGTCATAATTTGAGGAGATTCATTTCTTAATGGATTTAATGGTGAACATATCAGAATGTCCGAAAGTTTCCAGAGAGAATCGGGCTCTAATAAACATAGACTCAGATAAAGGTTTTGACAAAAAGATTTTTTTACAGAAAAAAAAGGAGAATAACTTTTCTCAAAAGGACAAGAGGACCCCAAAACACATATGGTACAAACCGTGAATAAAAGTAAGAACCAAAATCACCACTTAATGCATCGATACAAAAACCTGGCAAGAAAACTCCGAAGCAAAATCATGCAAGGTCGAGAAAATTTCCCTGGGGACAATGGCTTGAGCAAGGCCAATTACCCGATGCAGAGTGGTCGGAATAACAGTCCTTTCGCAGTGGCATAATCATGACGCGAAAAAGGTGCGACGCTGAGGGGGGAACGCCCACCGCTCCAGCTGGAACTCAAGACACATACAAACAAAACGTGACAGAACATTCGGCAGGGTGTTCCTCTCATCGTCACGACAGGATGTGGATTTCTAGGACAGCAGAACTGGTCTTACTGGTCTTTGTCAGGAAACAACACCCATCCCCTCCTTTCACTCAAACCAAACCCACTGACACACATTGCCCATACGGCGCTGGTGAGAGGGAGCTATCAAAGCATTTGTGTGCATGGCAGACATCGCAAGGTGTTCTCTTCTTGACCGCAGCTCCTCGTTCGCTCTGCCATATCCAAGATCGGACAGGTGCTATGAATAAAACATTGAATCCATTAAAAAATTAATCACCTCTACCTTAGGCATAATTATGGCACGATTGTTCCCGGTGTGCGAGATGACGAGGGTTCTTCCTAATGTGCACGTGTTTTGTATAAGTACCACAACATTTGAATTTTAATCATTTTATCAGGTTAGGATGTTCTCCCCGAGTCTCTGATTGGAAAGTTGACATGTTGGACCTCTTGACCTGACAGCAACTGGTGGGGTGTGAATACTGTGTAGTGCTCATGGTTGGAGAGCTGAATGACATCCCATTAATAGACTTTGGCACACTGCACACCAAACAACATGGCTGAGCCTGATCAGGTCGAAAAAATTAGAGTTGGTGACTCACATTCACATATCGACAGAGATGCCGCAACGGAAAAACTGCGACCACCACATCGTGTTTTGACACTCCGAATACAGAATATTGTGCTGTATTATTTTCTATTCAACCATAAAAACAGGGTGTGATTGTCAAGGAAGAAGGAATTACCACAACGAGAGAATAAAGGTGAGTGTTGATGTTTTCAACGGCTGTTGACGATAACTGAATATATATTTATTTAACAGTTAGCTCCGACCAAGCACTTTTGAGTCACTCCATGACCGATGACATACGCTAAAACATTGGGACTTAATATCTGACTCTGCCTCATAGATGTTTTAAATTGTTAACTTGGCCCTTTTATCCTTATATTCATATCCTTAAATAGATGTGTTCATGTAAGATTATGACTATGACTAATAATATGACATAATTTTTTTCTCCATAATTTATCTGCTTCAATTCTTCCTTCACAATAATAACATAATAATAATAATAGTGATGCAATAATTCAATATGTCTTCTTCCTCTCAGAATTAAGACAACAGATTCCAGAAAAGTGACATTTGTCCTAATCATCTGAACCACTGAGTTTAGTCAGGATTGCTATCAAAGCACTGCACTCTTCTATGTTCCATTTTCTTACCAGACTAGAGGACCTTTTACACGCATTCATCCTTCCAGTGCACAACTCCGACCTGGTGTTCTCTCCCTTGGGATGCCATTCTAATTAACCCAAAGAGGTCTCGAATCGAGTGTAGCGGGCCGGCACCACTGTTTGAGAAAGACTCGTCTATGTCTATGTCAGGGTGTGTGTGTGTGTGTGTGTGTGTGTGTGTGTGTGTGTGTGTGTGTGTGTCACAAAGACCGAGGTGATTTCATGACTCCACTGGGTTCAGGAGGGGTAATAAATTACATGAGCACAGCAGCTGGGGGTCTGTGTGTGTGTGTGTGTGTGTGTGTGTGTGTGTGTGTGTGTGTGTGTATACGCACAAACTGTACGTGCGTGTGCGCCAAACAAGTATTTCCAAATACAATGTTTCGATTTGGGCTGGGGAGAAAATGGCCGATGCATTTGTCAGTTAGCAGGTCTGATAGTGTGTTAGAAAGGTCATGAGAAAGAAATACTCTCCATGCTTGAAGTCCCTATAAAGTGAAAATGTTTTGTAAATTTGACTCACCACAGAGCAGACTGCCACTAACAATTCTGAGAAAATCGAAAGGTGAAAAAAAAAAATCACCAGGTATTTAAAAAGAGGCCTCGAAATCATGACAAATCAAGTCGTTGTCTCTGTTATCAAATGCTGTGCGCTTGTTCACCATGTGCGCTGTATAATAGTATAATAGTATACCTCCACAATTTACCACTACATAATTTCCAGTCCTTGCAAATTTTTTCAGCAATTACCTTCAAATACATGTAATGTATTGAGAAACAAATCCCTGAATTCACCTTACAGGGTCTGAAAGAATATATGAACTGGGTTTCAAAAATAGCACCGACAGCAATCATTTTCTCCCAAAACTCTGTATGAAGTGCTTTTTTTTTGTCTGATGGTGGAAGAGTTGGGTCAAAGGTATGCAAGCAATGCAAAAAATATATATATACATATAGGATTGTCTCCAACTATGCCATTTTGCCACATTCCCGCGGCATCTCGTGCTGTAGATGCGTCACTCTGCAAGGTGAGAATTTCTTGTTGCCATGGTGATTCCAGTTTGGCCTACTAGCTCATTCAGTCATTATTTCTGATGACTTACGTCGAATAAAGATATATCTAACGTTTCTTTATGTACAGTAAGTAGTAGCATTCCGACTATTTCGAGTAAGATAAGACTTTTGATTTGCATATGTGGGTAGAAGTGCGTGTGTTTATAATTCAAGACTGCGCTGTGTGAACTCAATCGAGGTATTGTGCCTGAGACACAGGAGTGGTTTCATTTACCTTCTGGGCACTTGTCCACGGCTGATGAGTCTGGCTGGCTGACAGACTGGAAGGAGCCACAGCAGCTGGATGGGCAGCTCCACGTCAATATTCCCAAATTTGGTCGCGTCCCATTTGGCTTTTTGATGAGCATCTCTCTGCATTTAGAAAGTGACATAAATCCATGATGATTGTGGAGTGCACAGAAAAAGTCTACACACCGTTGTTCAAATGCCAGGTTTTGTGATGACGGAAAAAAAAATGATGACGAAAATCATTTCATAACTTTTTTTCCACCGTGCAATTAAATTGACAAAAAAAATTTGGAGGAACACTCAGCTGAGATAATGTTGGATATACCTGACTGTCGCGATATGTGGTTGGCATAGACACATTAACAAAAATGTTTTTTTTTTCTCTTACGGCACACTGCTAATCACGTTCAAACGTATGCTAAATTGGAGCCAGCACATACCTGACACAATGTCAAGTGCTTCAGATGAACCACCAATAAAGTTCAGATGTTCAAGTATGTTTTTTCAGATTTCATTTTTTGCTTCCCAACAGAAGCCTGAAGTTTTTTTGTTTTTTTTCCAACTATGACTGCTATTTGAACCTGTTGGTCTTTTGATATCCATTGTATGTCAGTATGTTGTCAGGATTCTTTATCAGGTTGATCTCCTGATGGCCATCTGGGGAATTTCATATTTAGCTTTCTTAGTTCCAATATGGTCAAACCACTTCTAATCTTGAATAAAATGACTACAATTTGAACTACCGGTAATTGTATAAACCAGAGGTCAATGTGCTAACCAGTCCATGGTGCCGCCTTGTAAAACAACGTCAGATACAATGGATAAGTTTCGACATCCAAATCTAAATAATCCGTGCATCATATTTGAATAATCAAATACCTTAATACACTGTAATATATTCACATTCCAAATCAAAGCAATATGTGAACAAAAATCTTACTCTATCTACCCATTTCATCTGTGTATTTTACCCGCGATGTCTGTGTTTGTCTTGCCATTGTTTCCTTTTCACTGTGCGTGTGTGTCCCCTGATAAACACACACACAGGCACACCTACACGGACACATGCAAAGTGCTGACATAGGGTAAAAAAAAAAAAAAAGGAGCAATAGGCAGAAGAATGCTGAGTCAAGAGGACCGTCGCTGTTCACCACCCCAATAAATGTACAGAGCATGTGGCCTCATCAATAATAGAAAGTCCTCCTTAAAGTGTCACTTGTGTGTGTCTGAAGAAATGTGTGTCACGTTGGTGTGTTTATCTCGACATCTTGCATATGTATGCATTATGTATGTGTGTGAGACGACGGTTTGGCTAATGGTGTTGAAAGATCACATTAACCTTCAGGTGGAGCCGCTCGTGTCGCTTATCAGACCACGCAGCTGCGCCTCCCACAATGTTTTGATGCGCATGCGCAGTTGTGCGTGCGTGCACATGCGTCAGTCGAAATGACGTCCAGCAATCTAATTACAAAGAACATGAAAGAATTCAACAGTTCGTCATGACTCAAAGCTGCAATTCAACCCATTGTGCAGAATTATAACACAGTCATGTAACGTAGGCAAAAAGGAAGAATAGTAATTCTACTACAATTGTAGATGACTCAGTAACATGCTGTAATATTAGTCATTTTTTTTGTACAGGATAAAGAATAGATGCCTGTGTGGATTGTTATATTATGTGTTGACGTGTTCGTAGTCAAATATCCGTTGCTCAAAGGGTTCTAAAACCGCCCCAATCGATGCTAACTGTTAGCATGTGAATGGTATGATTAGTTGCTAGCATTAAGCTAGCAGGCCATTGTTCTGTTTCACAATGCTGCCTGCACCGAAGTCAGGTGCGTGTACTACAAAAAAGAAAAAAAGAAACTACCAAATGCATTCCTTTTGTAATACATAAATATATTTCTCTCAAGTTTCACTCGTTTCTAAAGTGAAATGGTAAGCTGTATCAAACTATGTGGCTTGCCATCACTGCTCTAGAGGCTTTCATTAATCCTATTTGATGCCGCTGGTGATGATAGCTCATGAGCTGCATTAGAGTTATTGTTGAGCAGAATGACCTTTCTCATGTGCGACGAGGAAGGAAAAGGGAGAGAGGGCTGGGTCTTTGTCAGGGATTGATCCTCCAACGCCCACGTGTACCAGTGGGCCACACCGTGGTCCATTGAGTTTATTGACCACGGTTTGAAGAGTTCACATTCTGTGCTTTTTGCTATTTAGAGCCATCGATTCAAGTACAGCACTGAGAGGATCATTGCGTTTCAAATCGCACTGGATTTGGCGGGGTCGTCAAGGGGCCACACCTCCAGGGAACAGCCCCCAATGCCCACTCACGTATTTCTTGCACACACTCAGCATACTGTAAACACATGTGGCACGTATGTGCCCCGGCGAGCTCGACATTCATCATGCGTAAGGCCCGGACGCTATATGCATTGAAATGTCACCAAGCCCTCGACTCAATACAGTCCCAAAAAAAATCCATATCAAGCTGATTTGCATATAGTCGTCATCTCCTAGCTTCGCTTGGTTGAACTATAAAAGGAGAGCACGGTCATAATGAGAGTGACGATGGGAAGACAATATGTTGTATTATACGTTCGCATTAAAATATCGCGGCCATTCTTTCAGGCAGTTGTTTGGTTGATTTAAACAGAATTATCTTTGTTTTATGTTTAGTTTGACAGTGGACTTCAGCTGGGTGTGGCATTGAACAGCTTGAAGCCCGTTTTTATAAAAATTCAATTCTTCACTGTTTGTCAAAGTGCCGCTGATTGTGATGCAAGCTGAATCAACGCTCGCAAGACGACGGCTTATATCTCGGAAAACGTGTAAGTCGGCTCGCTCGTAATTAAAGACACTACTACTGTGTTTGCTAAAGCCTCCATCATCACAGAAATCAAATGTAGTCATCTGTTGAAGATGACGCTCATATGGGAACATGCTAATGTGATATATATATTTTTTTTCAGTCAATGGCAGGCTTTCATGTAACCAGACCTCTGTGCAGCTCTCTCTTTTGTCTCAGCCATGCAGCAGTAGTGGACAGATGGTTGGATCAAAACCTATCAAACATTTACAAGCACGCACACACACACACAGACACACACACACACACACAGAGCCGCTGATATCAGAGAGGCCTGTGCGCAAACACAAGCACACAAAAAGGCACACACCTGCAGCTGCAAGCTAGCTAGGCTCTAACAGTGTCCGAATGAAGAGTTTGATGGAGTCGTGCTGGATGTCTGATTGGTGTGATGGCTTTTCTTTTTTGCCGCACAGTTCCTTACGAACATTATCTCCGTTCGGGTGGATAGCACAAGGGGCCAAACGGCTGAGCAGTTTTCCCTGAAATTTTAGCCAAGGACGTATATTGAGTCCATCAGATTTGTTCTGCTGCATCGCGGGGTCCCCTGGGTCATGTATGTGCAACAAAATGCAGACGAAAGAGGCAAAAGATCACGAACGGAAAGGAGGAGGAGGAGGAGGAGGATGGCGGTGTCAAGGAGAGAAATGATTAGCAGGCGGGGGAGAAAGAAAGAGGAGGAAGATGGAGGTCTCATACAAGATCGTCCTTTGCGCCCAAGTTATGAGTAATAACTTGGGCTCAAATATGCTGACTCATGTGGCCCCACTCAGAATCACTGAATCATGGCAAAGTTCATTTTTTAGTATTTTCACAGATTTAATTTGTTGTAAATCATACAAATTTAAAAATCGATTCATTTTGATTCCTTAAAAATTTGTCAATTTCAAAATTAATTCAATGCAATCAGTTAAGATATGGGTATAGTTTAAATATGGCAGGCTTGGAATAAACAAGACCATTTAGTTAAAATTCATGACATTTCTTTCCATTAGGTTCCCATAAATATTTCAGTATGGCTATGTTTCACGTTTCCAGTAGATAGTAGTCATGCAACCTGTTTGTTAACAGCTCTTGAAATCGACAGGAAGTAGAAAGACTTTCCCGGCATGCCCAACTGCATTTGTAAAAGTTTGAGCCTTCTAATGGCTTTAGTTGTAGCTAATTATGTTTTATCATTAATGCTACTTCTGGCTTGTGTAATAGTAGTCGTGTGTGTTTTACTTACACTTCTTGCTCATAATTTTGTGGCCACCAAAATCTAATTTGGCGTTTAGTTTACGGGCCCACCCGATCATGAACCTATTCAAACGAATAAATCGCAGGGATGCCTTGCATCTTTAAATATGTTCAAATGTCCCGAAAAACTTCCTATATGACTAATCTATTTTGTAATGTCAGATATGAATACAGTATTGTAGCTACAGGTCAAACGCAAAAACAATAAGAAATCTCAATATCCGGTTAAGAAATTTTAAAAGCATTTCACGTGAGAATTAGCCCGAAAAAATGGATGCGACTGCTCTTTCCACTGACAAACAGTCGCACATAATTGCATGAACATGGCAAAAAAAATACAAGTTTCCCACAAAATTGAATACATGATCAGTGTGTTCTGAGCTCAGCAGCCCCAGAGATTTGGTTGCCAAGTCAACCGCGGCCACCTCAACGCAGCAACCGCCTCATCTTCACCTCTATTGTATAGTCATTTGAATCCTGCGCTCATCTTCATCCATTTGGATATTATTTGCACGAGGGATCTGTGTCGGGTGTATGTAACGTGGCGTTTACTGTTAATGTGCCTTTTGTGGCTTTGAGGAGGATACTCGGCTCAGTGTTGCGCTTTGGCAGACCACCTGGTTCCATTTTGTTTTACATGGCCGTCGTTTGCCGTCCAAAATAAATAATAGATAGCGAGGAACCACGCGTGCTTCCTTGAAAGGGGGTTAAAAATGGAATCATTTCATTCAGATATCATTATTAAATAAATACAGTTGTAGCTCGAGAAAAGCACTGCCGATGTTCTGCTTTGACTTGTGAAGTAAGATAGCTGGTGGCAGTGACTCAGCTCACTTCATTCAACAGCAACAAGCAGCATTTCAGCAGGTACAATAAGGTTACAAGTTCTGAAAAAGAGAGGCTTCAGGATATATATTACCACTGTAGTTGAAATTTACTGTCCAATTTAACGTAAAACTTATCCCAACCCCCCAAGAACACCTTACACCTTTTGCTAGCTTCATTGTAATGCTAA